GGCGTCTAAAACTGTCAACATAAATTACATTCTAGTGTCGGCAATTCTATAAACAATGGAACGAAACGGAGGAAGAAAAAATATTTTTTGGTCTTTTTTTCAAAAACCTATTAAAAGAACAACAACGAAAAGACACCCTCAAAAAGAGAGAACCCCAAAAAAAAGCTTAACAACTTAATTTGCATGCAAAAACAAAAAAAAATATTCCTTTCCCTTCCCCCGAAAAAATAACCTCCCTTAAAATGCATGAAATTTAAAATAAAAAAATATTGAAGAAAAAAATTTCCTTTTAAAGTCATTATTACAAAAACATAGATAGATAATGATGACGACAACAACAAAAAGTGAAATGTTTTGAAATTTAGAATTCTACAGCTTTCCTTTTATCTATCTGGGATATGGTGGAAAAAGTTTGAAAAGCGAAATGAGTACTCAGGCAATACTTGGGCTGTGTTCGACACACTCTCTCCTGGCTGTCGTACGTAGTCTAGTCTAAAGGACTGTACAAACAATAACAAACTTCAACCACTTTGAATATGTAAAACAGTCCTTCCCCCTCCAATGCTACAAATGAAACACATACTTCTGCTGGTTTTTTGAAATTATTTGAAATGAAAAAAAATCCGCCTAGCATTCAGGCATATTGCCGACGACCTTTACGGCAACCCTATGTGGCTGTTTTAGCCAAAAAAACAGTTGACACTGACTCCTTTTGCTATATAAGTGGTTGCTGGTGGTAGTATGTGTGTGTGTATGCTTGTAAGTATATCAGTCTGTATTCTCTCTTTATGCTTGGTTGAACATTTTCTAAAACAACAGCAACAACAACAACACCAACAACAAAATGTTAAATAAAACAAAACAGGAAGTGTGATGTAAATTACAACTTGCAGACAGTCATTTAGACATACTCGCATTTAATGTAAACATCAACAAATACAACAACAGCAACAACCCCAGTAGCAAAAACAACAACAACAACGTTAGGCATAAAAGTTGCAAAATAAATAAAAAAATTAAAGAGAGTGAGAGAAAGCACTCATCGTAACGACATAAGAAGCTAAAACAAGTTGATATGTAATTTAACAAAGAGAAGTGAAGGTCGGTCCCTCATATCCTCTTTAAGTCCTTTATTAGATTTCAAATAAGGAAAAAACAAACACAAGTATAATCCAAGTCGAGCTTGTTATACCCTACATCATTAGGTGGACACTCAAAATATCTAAAATCGATCGGAAATTTGTATATGGGTGCTATACCATATAGTAAAAATTGGGACCTTGAAATACCGAAATCTTCACCATATCAAATATATATATATGTATACTTATATTGCGACTATGCCAAAACAAGGACAGATGTGATAATTTTTGGTAGGAAGATTTTCCACCCAATGAAAACATTAAATAACAAACTACAACAAATAAGGACGATTATAAGGTATATAATAGCAAATAATCATGAAAAAGCTACTACTTTTTTCCAAATCATGTAAACTTTTCATTAATATCAAAAGTATTTTCATACTTCGCTCTACTTTACCACTATTTGCGTTCATTTTTTCCTCTCTCTCTCTCTATCTTTGGACAAAAACAAATATATTTCTCCTAAGAACAACAAAATAGCTACCACCATTCATTGATCGGCTGTGTTTGGTTTTGGTATCGTCCTCTGTCCTCTCTCTACTGTTTCTCTTGTGTACAACCGTGTTCTCTCCACTCACTTTGATTGTGGCTAGTTTTGCATTATATTGTTTCTTTATTTCAGTCACTGTTAACTACCTCTGCATTTGTGTTATAAAATTCGCATATGTATTTCCCGAATACTATAGGAAACAGACCACCACCAAGTTGTTTTTCATTCTCTATCTCTCTCTATCCGACAAGAAACCAGTAATTAAAAATTTATGAATTAAATTCATAAAATGCAGAAATTCCAAATCACAATTCTATATACATTCTAGAAAATTGTTGCTCACCATCACCAGGGCGACGATAGGACTATGTTCGATTACCGAACTTGTATTCCTTCGTTTTGTGTTATATAGCCCATGGACGTAGTGTTTTTTATTCGGATTCTTTAATATGTTTGTTCAAATTCAAATCATTGTTCGCGGAATCCTAAATTGACAGAGTCTACTTTGTAAATTTCACTTTTAATATTTTTTCATAAATTCATTGATGACTTTTTATCAAAAAAAAAATTGTATTATGTGTATAAAACTAGCAGAACAAAGTAGACTCTAGCAATTTTGGACTCCGCAAACAAGTTTGGATTTTTTCTATATAAATTATTTTGCATTATAAATTTATAAACACGCATACAAGAAATATTACTCGATCATTGCACAATATTACATGTACGAAATTATTCACTTCCATTCAAAACAAAACTAAAAACCCTTCGAAAATAAAATTCCTCCCAGTTCTTCAATGACTTTCAATTGAAATATTTATAGCCAAAAAAATAAAATGGAAAGAAAAAAGAAAACGACTTTTAGATTAATTAGCCAAAAAGTGTTGATAATATAAACGCACGATTTCTTCCCCCTCCCCATATCTGCCGAAGAAAAAACTAAACTATTTGATTGCTACAAAAATAAAAATCTAATAGTTCAAAGTAGCCCACACTCCCCACCAAACTTAACTCCACATACCACGAAGTGAACGTGGATGTGGACGTCGCCGTCGAGTATTACGATTTACGTGATCATTAGACGGATTAGAGACAAAATAAATTCAACAGCGATGATACACACAAACCGACTCGATTCGAAGAAGGCAAATAAATGTTAGCCAGAAATAAAATTGTACGACGTGATAGTAGTATACCCTGGCTCGCTCGTTGGCTCTTTAGGCAAAAAATACAAATAAATACAAAAGTCTGCATTCAAATACCAAGAAGAAGAAACAGAAACAAGTAAAAGTTTCCTTTTTTTGATGTTATTCGTTCGTTCGTTTTTGACTGTCTTTGAAAGTACGTGACCCTGGTAATAACAAATTGAATGCCGTATGGCATTTTCTCCTCCACCTCCTCCTCTCTCTTTCGCTATTAAGTGTTATTGCAGCAGTACCTCGAAAAATCGTTGATGACTCTATGCCTAACCTCAACCCCCATCAATGTTTTCTTTGTGCTTTACAAAAAAATACAACTTTTACTTTTTGTCCCCCCACTCCGCTCCACTCCACTACCATCCTCTTCTTGCAATCAAAATTAAGACAACGAGAATAGTCATCCAATTATTATTAGACTTCTTGGTTGTTTTATAGGCCTCTTATCTGGAACAGACCAACAACACCATTAACAATGAAATAAATGAAACTTCAACCCCCCTCATCCTTTTGTTTTAGTGCCAAGTCAAGGCATGACACTGTGTCTCAAAGCCTTGATTCCATGAATAACAGCAGTCCTTTTCACTTTTTGTTGTTGTTTTTTTGGTTCATTCTTCTACCTATCTTCTTCTTTCATCTTCCATTACAGTAGCTGATTGCTAGACAACGAACAAATAAATAGAAATAAACAAAAAAAAAAAACTTGTCTTGCATTTGTATCATTTTCATTTCCGTAGTAGAATTGTGGTTGCAGGGAAAAGTTTTTTTTATTAATATCGAAATGAAGCATATTTTTAGGGGTGGGATGGCTTTTTCTTCATTTTCCATGGAAAATAATTTTAAAGGCGTGGATTTTTTAAAAATATTTTTTAAAAACCATCCACAGGTGTGAATTTTTATACCCTTCACCACTCTGTGGTATAGGGTATTATGTCATTGTTTAAAAATATATTTTTAAAGGTCGTCCACAGGTATAAAATAATATTTTTTTAAGACCTTCCAGAGGTGTGGTATTTTAAAAATTATTTTTTCAGACCTTCCACATGTATGGATTTTTAAAACAATATTTTCAAAGATCATCCACTGGCGTAGGTTTAAATAATACCCTGCACCACAGTGTGGTGAAGGGTATAAAAAAATATATTTTTTAAGACCTTCCACATGCATGGATTTTTTTAAAAAAATTAATTTTTAAAGATCATCCAAATGCGTAGATTTTTAAAAAAATATTTTTAAAGGCCATCCACAGACGTGTATTTTCAAAAATAAATTCTCAGGCGTGGATTTGTAAAAAATATTTTTGAAAGATATGTGGACGATCTTTGATTTAAAAAAAAAAATTTTTTAAAGGCCATTCACAGATGTGGATTTTTAAAATAAAAATAATTTTTTAAAGACCATGGCTTTGTAAAAATATCGTTTTTCAAAAAATATTTTTTAAAAATCATCCACAAAAGTAGATTAAAAAAAATATTCTTTAAAAATCATCCACAGGCGAAGATTTTAAAAAAAAAATATTCTTTAAAAATCATCTACAGGCGAAGATTTTTATAAACTATAAAAATATTTTTTTAAAGATCATCCACAGGCGTAGATTTTTAAAAAATATTTTTTGAAGTCCTTCGAAAGTTGAGGTTCAAAAAAATTAACGACCTTTCACAGGAGTGGATTTATAAAAAATATTATTTTATCCACCAAAAAAATATTTTTTAAAAGATCATCCACATGTGTAAATTAAAAAAAATAAATATTTTTTAAAAGATCAGGCGTAAATTTAAAAAAAAAAAATTAAAAATTTATTTTTTAAAAGATCATCCACAGGCGTAGTTTTAATTTTTTTTAAGAACATCCAAAGGCATTGTTAAAAAAATATTTTCCACAGGCGTGGATTTAAAAAAAATATTTTTTTTAATATTTTTCCTTTTTTTCCGATTTTGTCTAATGAAAAAGTAGTCTCAGTAAATTGATGTCTATATATTTAATTGAGTAATTTTTCTATAGGAAAAAATCAAATATTAATTTACTATGAAATTGTTTGCAATAAAACTATGTATATCAGTAACTTCCTATAATAATTATAGCAAATATAATTTTATTTCCTCATGTTTTATATAATAAAATGTTTTTATTTATATATTTAAATACGAAAGAAACAAAAACAACACTTACCCCAGCAACACTTTGTGCCACCACTGGTTTTCCAGCTCCAGCCTTGACCAATGCCATACTGTTATTGCCACTTGTTGTATTCCCAGCTGTATTTGCAGATGCTGATGATGACGACTGTTGCTGTTGTGGTTGGTGTAGAGAATCATGTGAAATGGCAGATATTTGAGATGAGTTCATAATAGAATTATAATCAAAGATGGCCGTTGCACCACCACCAACACCACTGCTGCTGTTGTTGCCAATGTCCACGGACGTTGTTGGCAGCAATTGGAAATTCAATTGAGCCGTTATTGTGCCTGGAGCCGAAACAACAAATTCACTGGAGGATTCCATGTCACTGTTGTTGTTGCTGTTGCTCGAATTTAATGCTGTCGGCGATGATGATTCACGTACAGAGGCTGTCATTAAATCGACTGTGGGTGTCAGTTGATGATTTGTGCTCAAAGTGCTGGAGATTAATGTGGGGTTACCAATTAAGGTGGACAAACCACCGGCTGCACCCATCGAAGAGGACATATTCGTTGAAGAGCGTAATTTGTCGGCCATGGTCTAGTTGGTTTTGTTCGAGTTTTTCTCCTCGCGGCAATTTGCTAAAGTGTAGATATTGGGGATTTTCTGTGGTCAGTCAGTCGGCCGGGAGGGTGGGAGTTAGGAATGAGTGTTGAAAATGCTTGGAAAATACATAGAATTGAATTGATGTTCTATAATTTTCCAACAAATTTGGTACGTTTTTTGTTTCAAGTTAACGGAGGAAAGAGTCTGTCGTGGCAAGTCCGTCTAAGTCCGAAAAGAAACGTCCGAAGTTTGGGGTTTAAGTCTTAGCTAAGGCTAGTGATGCATTTTAATATCTGAAAAGAGAGAGAGAGGGAAGATAAAGTAATTAATAATATATATAAAATAAAAGGAATTATTAAATTAAGTAAATTATGAAAAACAAATACAGAGAATCAGATACCCTACATTAGGTGGTACCTGGATTTCTTTAAATATATTTTTTTAAGATTTTCAAAATATGTTTTTAAAGACCTTCAATAGGAGTGGATTTTTAAATTTTTTTAGAACCATTAGACTAGCTATAGGCGTGGATTTTTTAAAAGTATTTAAAAAACCATTAGAATAGCAATAGGCGTGGATTTATTTAAAAATATTTTTTCACGACTAGCTATAGACGTGGATTTTTTAAAAATATTTTTTCACGACTAGCTATAGGCGTGGATTTTTTAAAAATATTTTTTCACGACTAGCTATAGGCGTGGATTTTTTTAAAATATTTTTTCACGACTAGCTATAGGCGTGGATTTTTTAAAAATATTTTTTCACGACTAGCTATAAGCGTGGATTTTTTAAAAATATTTTTTCACGACTAGCTATAGACGTGGATTTTTTTAAAATAGTTTTTCACGACTAGCTATAGGCGTGGATTTTTTAAAAATATTTTTTCTCGACTACCTATTTTTATAAACATATTTTTTCAGGCATTTCTACACAAAATGTAAACAGCTGTCTAATATTATGATATTATAAAATATTTAAAATATATTATCATACATTTCAAAAGACCATCTTCAGTTTTATGACATTTTCCCCTCTAACCACTTCCGCCCAAAATTACCGTTTTATGAGAAAAACACCGAAAAGATGACCATCTCATCCGATCTTCTTCTGCAATGGCTAATTTAAAATGCATTAAAAAAATGGAAATGAGATTATTTCATTTTAAATAAAGGCCGAAATGTACTCTCCCACTCCGCAAACCAAAAATAAAAAATCCAACAAAATTACTGACCATTTGTTAACAAACCACGTCACCCCACCTTCCCCCAAAAAAGGGTTACCAAAAACAAAACTGTTTCATGTTCCCATATGGGGACCTGGTGGCATAGACGTAACGAATTGGAAAAAATAACAAAAATTTTGAACAAAATATATAACCGGTTGTCACATTGTTGCAATGTAAACGACAACAACAAGATTGTCATGAACAAAACAACAACAATGAAAACAAATTCAAAATTGGTGTCTGTTCCCCTTCCAATTGAGTTGATTTGTCTATTAAAGCCGGTAAGCGCCGCCGCCAACAAAAACAACAACATTGCAGCAAAAAAAAAATAGAAAATTAAGTTGGCAGTAAACCGTATAGCCGGCTGACTGCCTATCGCTACTCTAACTTCCAATTGATTCCACAGAAAAAAGTGGTTTGTCTGCCGGCGGTTGGGTGGTGTTGTTTGTGTGGATAAATTGCTATTTCAGTTCTCCGTCGGTATCCCAGCCGACCAATCGAGGTGAATGCAAAGCTAACATTCAACTGCATTTTTAACTGGGTGGGTAGTTATAGCTCATTGACTGGATGGCTGGTTGACTGGCTGTTTGGTTAGATGATTGTCAGCCAGCCTAACTGGCTGGCTTGCTGGTTAGCTCTCAACAATTTTTTATTGTTGTTGTTCCCAAATCGAAAGTTATTGACCGGAACTAATAACTTTTTATGATCTTGTTTTATTTTGTTTTTTTTTTCTCTGCCTCTCTTCACATTTTCCCAAAAATGTTTACTAAATGCCTTCCTTGGTCTTGTCTTTTAGTTTGGTTCCTTTTCTGCCAATCAACCTTGTTTTTCCGCCTTCAAGAGTGTAGAAGCAGCAGTTTATGGTTGGGGAAGTCAATTTGGCAAGAAATCGGTAACATTTTGTATAGCAAACAAAACCGAAAACAAAAATTATTTAATAAAATAAATGGAATAGGAAGCTATGGAGCAAATGGAACTCAGCCTTGGCCAAGAAAATTTTTGAAACTAAAAACTAAGAAGTCGGTCCATTTTTGATGAACTTCTAGGGAGGGTGGATTTTTTAAAGGCCGTCAACAAGCGTTGATTTTTTTAAATATTTTTTAAAGGTCATCAAAAGTTGTGGAAAGCATTTTTTCTTAAAGAAAAAAATTAGTTAAAAATATTTTCAAATGTCAGCAATAGGTGTGGAGGCGTAAAATTTTTAAAAATATTTTTTTTCAACGGTTGTGTATTTTTTAAATTTTTTTAAAGAACTTCAATAGGTTTGTATTTGTTTATTTTTTATTTATTTGTTTATTTATTTATTTTTTTAAGACCTTTAACAGGCATGAATTCAAAGTATTTTTTTAAGTATTGAATTTTTTAAAAATATTTTTCACAGACCAGCAATTGGCGTTGATTAAATATTTTCAAAAGCCAGCAATAGGTGTGGATTTTTTAATATTATTTTTTAATGACTAACTATACGCGTGAATTTTTTTGAAATATTTTTTAAATGTTATCAACAGGCGTGGATTTGTAAAAAATATTTTTTAAAGACCATCAATAGGCGTGGATTTGTAAAAAATATATTTATAAAGACCATCAATAGGCGTGGATTTGTAAAAAATATTTTCCAAAGACATACAATAGGCGTGGACCTTGATATTTGGTCCTTCGATCACTAGCAATTTCATGCAAAAAAGATGTCATGTTATTTATATATATATTTTTTTTTTTATATATATTTTTTTGCTATATTTTTTATTATAACTTAGTTTCCTATTTCAAAACTTAGGTTTCCATTCCCACTTATCTATTCCGCTTTCTGTACCATTTGTCGAATTTTTAACACCTGCATAATTAAATAATTTTTTTTATTTACTCAATTTCCTCCCTTGACAAAATAAATTCTAACTCCACAAAAAATATGATTTGCATTTTGAAAATTATTTTAAGTAGATTTCTTTATTTGCTTTCGATCTACCATATTTTGCCTGAAGTATTTTTTTACCACTTTAAAGTTAACATTTATTTGGATAGCCACAACACGATAGAGGTACTTTACTGGTAACTAAATTTACATATTTTAAAAGAATTTTGTTTTTTTTTTACTTCTTTGTTTTGTTCAGCATTGCCATGAATTATGGCTCATAACTGTTTTTTTTTCGCTAACAATCTTTTAAAGCGCTTAGTTATATATTTAGACAGACAATGGCGTTGCTTAACAGCACGTGATTTTCTTTAGGTTATGTGGTCGGATCGTTTGCCTTTTTTCCAGTTGATTGTGCTTTATAAATATGACTAATGTGAAATTTATGCGGGAGACTTTTCTGGGGAATTGAAATATAGATATTGAAACAAGTTTGGGGGTGGTAGGGAAATAATGTGGAAATGGATTAAATAAGGTGATATTAGATTGGATGGAAAACTAAATTGGAAAAAAATCTTATATATATTTACATCAAATCTCTCTATCATCTCTAGTCGTAGGATCAAATGCCATAAACCCTGGTATTCTATTCCATGAAACTGTATTCTACATGAAATTGTAGAAAACCATCACATCAAAATCTCTTCGCGGCGGGGCAAGAGCATTTAAAAGATTTGATCGCAGTCGAAAGTTCAATTGGCATGTACCACCTTCGTTTCATACAGATCGAAGGACCAAAGAGAGATTTCACTCCACTTTCCTTTGAAATTACTAGGAGTTGTATATCTGACAAATTATCTGGCAAGAAAGGGATTATTTGCAAGTATTAAACTATTTTTCCAAATTTATAAGGCATTTAATACCGACCGAAGGACCAATTATCATGTTCTACTGTCGTTTAATCCTGATCGAAGGACCAAATAACAAAACAAAGCATCAGAATTATTTATGCGTTATTTGATATGGATCAAATGACCAATTGTCAGGTACGGCTGTAAGTAAAGTAAGCACTAGAATTGTGTCTTTCCGGAACGTACTAGGTCAAATATACTATTCCACAAAGGGAACCACCGGTACTAGGTCTGCTTCTTTCATTTATCTAGGTCAATAATTTTTAGCTTCTGTGAACCATCAGAATTTCTTCGCGACGGTCTAAGAGCATTTACAATCACTGAGATTTCATTTCACTGCAACCGAAATATTAATACATCATTTGATACTATTCGAAGGACCAGTTAGCATGTACTGTGTCAGTTAATTAATGTAAACACTCGTTCCGGAACAAACTAGTTAAAGGAACTTTTCCACAAAAGGAACGATAGGTACTCGGTCCCCGCTTCTTTTGATCATCTAATTCCGTTAGCTTGAGTCAAACATTATTGCTCTCAT